TGGAAGGCAAAAGTAAAGCAGATCATTACAAAGAAATTCAAAGCAAAGAATCCAGATCCATATCGAATAGAATACCATATCATTTTAGAGTGAACACCCGTATGGCAGTGATTCTTGTTGACTTACCAAAAGTCATATAGTTTTCTATATTATGTCAATGATCAATAGGTTATTATTTTCATAGTAATTATAAATTAAGTGAGTAGAGATTTATAACTTCCAAAAGATCTTGGATTAATCATATATACGGTACTAGTGTCAATAGGGCATTAAGGCCTCATTGAACAATACAATAATATGCTAACATAAGTGCTATTTAAGTGAATTAATCGCAAATAACCCTATAAATACATATGTTTTATCCCTCCCCAACCATCACAATATTGGACAAGATCAAAACAAAGCTAAGCATTCGGTGTCTATCTATCCCCTCTTCTCGTTAATCATCCTCCAAATTACTACAATGGTGATAAAGATCAAGAAAGCTAGCCAAGGTCGCCAAAAGATTGCAATTGCCAAAATTGAAAAGAGAAGCAATTTACAAGTCACATTCTCAAAACGTCGTTCAGGGCTCTTCAAGAAGGCCAGTGAGCTATGCACACTTTGTGGGGTTGAGATTGCAATCATAGTCTTCTCTCCTGCCAACAAGCCCTTCTCCTTTGGCCACCCCGAGGTTGACTCCATCGTTGACCGCTTCATTGCTCGGAACCCTAACCCTAATCCCCTAGGCCTAGCATGGTCTACAGACACCACTCAAGAGCTTGCTGAGGCTCACAGGAATTCTAATGTTCATGAGCTTAACAAGCAGCTTACCCAGATTGTGAATCAGTTGGAGGCTGAGAGAAAACAAGGAGAAGCACTTGATAAAATGAGCAAAGCTAGTCAAAACCAGTGTTGGTGGGAAATGCCAGTTGATGAACTTGGATTGCATGAGCTTCAGATATTGAAGGCCTCAGTTGAGGAGCTCAAGAGGAATGTGAATAAACAAGCCAACAGGATTTTGATGGAGTCTAGTTACCCAAGTGCTGCTGCTAATTATTCTTCATCACCCTTGTCTATGATGAAAAATATTGGTGGTTTAGTTCAACGTGATATCGATGATCATTATCGTTTCGAGAGCAAAAACCCTACTGATCAGATTGAACCTGCCTATAATTTTGGTTATGCTGGCCATGGTCTTTTTTGAGTTTTCCTTGTTTTGATCTTCTTTGATTTCTCATGAAGGAAGTTACAAGTTAGCACCTTGCTACTTAATTATTATTGTCTCTTTCTTTATGGTTTGTAATTACAAATAATCAATAATTAATGGACAATTTTTAACCAGATATTTCACTAAATTAGGAAATAATACACTCATAATGTTGAAGGAGGACATGCTTTTAAAAGCATAGGGTTCCCTCAATCATTTAAATGGGATGATTATTATAATTAAATCCTTCATAAACACAATTAACTAGTAATTATATCTAAACACAACACAATTAAATCCTTGGTTTTTTCCTCCTGTCTCAAATTTCTGGGTTTAATGTGATCGACCATAACGCTAAAAGAGATAAAATGAGGTAAGTAAATGAAAGTAGTGGGTTGAAACATAAGTTTTTTTTCCTTTTTGTTTTTTTTTTTTTTTTTGGGAGAGAACATAAGTTTTATTTCTTTTTTCTGTTTTTTTTTCCACTACAAGTTATAGTCTTACAGGGGATGAAGATTTCTCACACACACACAACTATGATGTCGTGGGGAAAAAGTTATGTTTTTCATATAAAAATCGACAAAGACAATTCTCCTTATAAAGTGGATTTTCCAATATAGTTATATGCTAACTTCCATAATTAATTTTTACGATTGATCAACCATACGAATCCAAAATCTCCAAATACTACATCTCCATCCATCGTATCTAGACCATGAAATCACTTCTAAATTAAATGATTTTTTTTCTTCTGGTTTTGCCGAAATTTCTAAACCCGGTTTTTTTCCTTGATAAAACAAGCGGATGTATATGTCTGGTTTTTTTTTTTTTTTTTTTTTCTCTGAAGTGCAACTTGTGGGCTATTAAATCACTGGTTTGGATGTACTTATGGGCCAAGGTTTGCCCACCAAGTTGGCCCAGATCATTTGCTTCAAAAATAATGGACTACTGGGATAGATATCACTTCCAAACAGCTAAAAGCAAACCACTTTATTCATGAATGACGTCTCTCCAAGGCGATTATCTTAATTAGGAAAAGAAATTCTATACAATGAGAATGCCACTGTGGCAGCATTTTAAGCCAATAACACACTACTAAGTGAGAGTTTTTTCAGAGAACTTCGACGGATCGAGAGATTAATGCGTGATTAATTTGTGATACCGCAAAAATGACATCTTCAATGCAGGTTGTTTCTCTCCTTAATTTCGAGAAGACATGCCAACTATTACTTTGTTATATCTCAATAACAATCTCAAATATGATTGTAGTATCACAGTGCGCTCACTTACATTTTACAAATAATAATAATAATAATAAAATGACAAGTTACATAAAATTAACATTCAAAATAACACCTTATTGTGATTTGAGAAGTTACGTAACAAGTCGCATAATTATATAAACATACAATCCACAATGGAATTTTTTTTCTCTTGTTGGAGAAGGTCCACACACATTCTTAAAAAATATATAATTATCTTCCATCAAACAAATAAAATTAATATTATCTCAACATAAAATTGCCACCTGAGAATTAGCATCCACATCACTACCCCAAGCCATGCCCCCCAATTTGTTTACGAGTGCAGTAAATACAGCCGAAATGGACATATTTTTTTCCTTTCTTTTTGGTGAAAATGGATGGATTTGTTATGTTCTATCTTTCTGTCTCACTTTTTTTTATGGGAGTTTCACTAAAACACCCAAAATGGGAGCTGAAATTATAACAAAACCCAACACCCAAAACACTTTATAAACACACCCAAAACCCATCATTACACACACTCAAAACCCATTTATAAACACACCCAAAAAATATACAATTGTTGACTTTGGGGTTGATTTTGGGTGTGTTTCTATGTTTAAATAGTGTTTAGGTTTTTTTATAAATACATGTCTAGGATTGGATTTATTTATAAATTTGTATTTTTTTATTATCAAATTGTGTCGCATATATTTGTTTCGAAAAATACTTCCCCATAGTCCTTTGTAAATAAGAGCTCATACATTACTATCAATAACAGTGTGTATAAAATTTTCTTTTAATATTTTTGATAAATTACTTTTATACATACATCAAACTGTAATTGCGAAAAAGCAAGCAGTATCCATTTATTTATGCTCATGTTACTCCCAAACATAAAAAGCCAGACTAGATATATTCTGGATAAATTAACAAGTCTGCACGTGTAACATTTAGCATCCAATGTTTATGCTGCCAGCAAATTGAAAATAAAGTTCCCGTATTGTTATAGATCAGATCCGATACTGACAAATATCTGAGGTGGCATCTATCATCGTCACGCGATCAGTGGGTAGCCGATTTAAAATCCCAGCCCAGCCTAACCCAGCCCACAGTTTTTTTAAATCAATCATTTCACTTACATTGGACCATCCGTGGGACCCACTTTTGATGTGGTTGGTCAGAATAGCGTCCACCCTCGGTCCTCTCTGGCGCCACATAATTCGGGCACAGCTGTCCGCTGGTTGGAGCCCCGACAGGCCTGCAACGGATCGCCCTGTAGTGCATTATTTCATAACAATTTCCAAAGCTGGCGAGCCCGATTTGGATCCGTACGCCCGAACCCACAAACCGACAAGGGTCCGAATATTTTTTTAGTTTTCTTTTTCCTTTTTTGTTTTTTATAATTTATGACTTGGATGCTGTCTCCGCTGGCAAATTGAAATATACATGGTACGTGCGCATTGTGATCCAGCTCCTCTTACAACCCACGCATGCTCATACGTTATTTGAATGGGGTCCAACTTGTCTGCGGCTGTGTTTGTGTGAGTGTCTGTGAGCCCGCTATGTGAGCGCGACATATGTCTGCTCCGTCATATTTTCATTTAAGTTAGTCTAATTTTCAATATTAATAAATAAAAGATTTTTTTTTATTTTTACAATATTTATTTATGATTTATTATTCTTATTTTTTAGGCTGGTCACTGTAATGTAAGCATTCAAGTAAAATCGTCATTGGAATGTCACCGATATAAAATGTTATAAACTAAGTTGTATTTGTTAACAAATGTGTTGCCTTAATAACCTGAATAATTAACGTAAGTTTATTGAAGTAATATTAATTTAAATTGTATGCAAACTTTTAAAGCTAAACTTCCTTAAAACTTCATCGTTAGTATGAAATTATAAATTAATTTGTGCTTCCCAATAAATATCTTTATTATAAATGCCATAAACATCCAAGGTGATATAATGTTACAATTCTTTCATTTCGTAAGTTAATAAATATTTGTAACATATGCAACCTATACATATTGAATGAGACAACGAAGATATACATCATTTTAAGAAAATACGTTATCATAGGTAACTTGAACAATTATATAAATTTTGCGAATCATATTAATCTACAACTAAGAACTGATGCATACATATAAAGTCTCCAAAACTAGACCCATGAGAAATGGCAATATACATTGACAATGTAGAAGTTAACATATATGTTTTTTTTTCTTTATCAGGCTTATTCTCGTATTCATAGATTCATTCTTTGAAAACAACAGTAGTATTACGAAAACACGTTACTCTTACCAAAATTTTAATAAAATGGTTTTTATCGAGCAATTGTTCTACCTAGATTACATCCCATAAAACTCCTGCTATAATATGGTCTTAACTTTAGTTTGCATAAAATTAGTTTAGTAATTTGTTTTGTAATTACTATAAAAATTTATTTAAATCTTAATAGGAAAATTAAAAGAACAAAAAAGAAAAGAGAGTGCAAATTGAGGTCATTGAGGTCGGTCGCAGTATATCTCTACACATATGCAAAGTGCTCTAGCTGTGTTTACAGCCTGTTTCACCTTCATATCTCTATCTTCCTCTTTCAGTCTTCCTACTCTCTCTCTCTCTCTGCTCCCTTATATTCCTCATCCCACCCAACCCAACCATCAAAACTATCGAACTCCCAAATCAGAACCAGACAAACGCCAAAAAGACTTCAATGGATCCGTGCCCATTTGTACGGATCCTAGTCGGAGACTTGACCGTCAAGTATCCCACGGCATCCAGGCCATCCTCCGCCACCGTCCACCCGTCGTCGTCCCCTTGCTTTTGCAAGATCAAACTCACCAACTTCCCCCACCAATCCTCTACAGTCCCTCTGATCCTAAGCAACGGTCAAAACCTAGATACGACGACCCACGATCACTCCCTTTCCGCCTGCTTCAATTTGAACAAAACCCAAATTGAAAGCTTAGCCTCCAAGCGGCCCTGTTTGAAGCTTTCGATCTACACGGGTGGGGTCGGCGCCACGTGCGGGTTACACAGCGGGAAATTGTTAGGTCGGGTTATAGTGCCGTTGTCGGAGCTGGGTTTGGCGGAGTCCAGACCCGTCGTGTATCAGAACGGGTGGGTCGCCATTGGAGGAGGGAAGAAGAATGGCAGTGGGTCCTCGTCGGCGCAGTTGTTTTTGAGCGTCCGGGCGGAACCCGACCCGAGATTCGTTTTCCAGTTCGACGGCGAGCCCGAGTGTAGCCCGCAGGTTTTTCAAGTGCAAGGGAATGTGAAGCAGCCGGTGTTCACTTGCAAGTTTGGGTTCAGAGATATGCAATCGAGGTTAGTTTATTTTACTTCTTTCACTCTCGTTTACCGTGTTTGGTTGCCGAGAAAATCACTCAATTCCCCTGCTTGAAATTAATTGATTTTTCAAAACGGCAAACAAATCTATCGTCGCGAAGTCAAAATTTTCCCCTTTTACTAATTTCTTTTTTTATTGGATTTGTTTCAACAGGTCAATGTCTTCAGAGCCAGGCACACCGAGAAATTGGCTGCCTTTTGGTGGGGCCCCAAAGGAGCAAAGCGCGAAGGAGCGAAAAGGGTGGTCCATTACGATCCACGACCTGTCCGGCTCGCCGGTGGCGGCGGCTTCCATGGTGACGCCGTTCGTGGCCTCGCCCGGCTCACACTGCGTAAGCCGGTCCAACCCTGGGGCGTGGCTCATCCTCCGACCGAACGAGGGCACGTGGCAACCGTGGGGCCGGCGCGAGTCGTGGCCCACCCGC